CGCGTGTGTGGGATGCAGTACTTGATGGCGTTGATTTCGAGATCGCTGGGAGATTTGACAAAGTCGATGGTAAGGCCCAGGAATTCGTTGGACGAGCTGGACCCCCGAGATTCAAATGGGAACAAACGACATGGACTCCACCTCGAAAGCGAGAATATCGAGACTCCAGGGTAGCTGCGTGGGCCACGGCAAAGCGTTGGGTGGCCCACTTGCGGTCGGAGAAGGATAAGCTGCACCGTTTCTGTGAGCGGCTCCGAATATGCAGTGCGGTGTGCACGTTAACCGAGATGCAGTACTTCAAGGTGCTGCAGGCGTTCGACGAGGCTGGGAGATATTGTGACAAGATTTCTGCTGAGCAGTGGGTGCTCAAGGAGTTGGGTGAGGAGTTCAGTGAATTTCTGCAAAAAGGGTTGGTGATGATTGTCGATCCAAACTTTGAGAGTATCACTGATGCCATTTCCGCCCAGGCCGACAAGGTTTTAGGCCAGGAGCGTTCTAGAACGGAAAAGATTTGGAGAGAATGGGCTCGTGAGTCTTTCTTGGAAGGGGCCAGTCGGGCCCATGCGATGTCCAAAGTCCGAGCACAAGCTGAAGTACTCCAATATTGTCAGGAGTCGCAGCCATACCAGCTTGCTGACCAGACTTTGCGGCAGTGGTCCAAGGTATGGACGCATCATCGGCTTCAAGCGCCTGATCTTCCCTCGGATTCCAGTGAGTGGGACGCTCTTCCCCATATCTCTTTTACTGATGTAAGGAATGTGGTGAGGTCCTTTTCGACCAAGACAGCTGCTGGCCCTACGAGGTTGGCGCCGAGGAGTCTGGACGTCCTGTCCGACGGCGCGCTCCAAGCTATTGGCAACCTTTTCATGTTATGTGAACGGTGGTTGTGCTGGCCAGCAGATCGAATATACAGCGAACTCGTGCGACTGCCGAAACCCGATGGCGATCACCGATTAATTGTTCTGAGTAACGCACTGATACGTGTATGGGGGAAACTCAGGCGACCGATTTCGAGGGAATGGCAAGATCGATATGCCTGCCATGAGATGTGGGGCACGAAATCGGGGCAGACTTCGAGCGATTCGGCATTCGACCACAATTTGCAGCAGGAGATTGCCGAGTTGCTAGGGGAGAACACATGCACGATTCTTTTGGATATGTCCAAGTGCTACGAGATGGTAGACCCGCACGCTTTGTTGCGAGAAGGGAGAGCCTTGGGGTTCTCTATGCGATTGCTGTGGATGCTCGTGTGCAGTTACCAGCAGCCGCGAAGGATTCGCGCGTTTGGTAGCGTATCGGTTGGGCAGGTATCTTACCAAGGAATTTTGGCGGGTTGCACGCATGCTACTTTCCTCCTCTACCTGCTCACGTACAGGGCTGTCAGTAGAGCAAACCAGGTCTCGGTCACGGTCACGCCCCGCACCCTCATGGATGATGTCGGGCTCCAGTCCATCTCGAAGGCCCCTGAGGACCTCAAGTATCTGGCCATTGCGGCCAAGGGCTTCGTCCACGATTCCAAGGGGCTGGGTATGGTTTTAAATGCTGCGAAGTCAGGCGGGATCCCTGGGAAAAAACGTCTCTGGAAGACCGTCAGTAAGTACATGGGCTCCATGAAGATCCCGTTCAAGGCCCACATGAGGAACTTAGGCCACGAGTTGTCAGGACCTCGAGTTTTGCGTAGGATCGAGAAGCGTCGCCTGACCAGTTTTAGAGATCGCCGCCAGCGTTTCACCATGCTGCGAAGGGCGACAGGCAGGCGAGTGACATCGTTGTGGAGGACTGGGGCCCTGCCGTCAGTTGGCCACGGCGCCACTGTGGCAGGGGTGAGCGACTCGGCTTTGAAGGAGCTCAGGCTGTTCGCGGCGGTCCTCAATGGGGCTCCTGGCAGATCCTCCACGGGGCTCACGGCGTACTTGATCTCGCACAAGAACGACCAGTATGACCCCATATACCATGCGACGTTGCAGGTTGTGATTAAGTTTTCGGAATGGATCTGGGACTCCAGGGTTCAACCGAGCAGGCTCCACAGGGCCTGGGAGAAGCTCAACGAGAAGTTCGGGGGCTCGCAGAAGGCTTCGTGGGCCCAGGCCAGGGGCCCCATGGCGGCCACATGGCTGTCGCTTCGAAGGATCTCTTGGGACCTTGTCGCCAGCCACGTTGTTAGGGACGACCTAGGCCGAGTCTACGACCTCAGGACGCTGAGCCCAGCAGATTTCAAGCACTTCTTGACCGAGGGAGTGCAGAGGTGGCAACACGGCCGCCTCTTGCGGCATCTTTATACTGTGGGTGACGGAGTAGCTATTCCAGTCTGGCACAGGGCCCTCAGGTATGCGATAAAAGGGATTCGATGCGTGAAGCGTCTTGGAGCGATTCAGGCACACTGGGCCGACGGTATCCCTATACCTGCCAGGCTGGATTTGAAGGCTGGAGGCCGATTCCGTCCCTGCGCAGCTTGTGGTCGCCAGATCAACGAATGCTGGGGACACATTCTGTACGACTGCCCTGCTCTCTTGGAGGGCGACCCCGATGATGAATTTGCTGCCCTGCCTGAACAGCTCGTCGAAGTGCGAGATCGCCTGGTGAATTCTGGAGTCGGGGCAGGTCGTCCCGAATGGGACTACACATACCCTGTCTATGGGATCCCTGAGCTTCCTGTCGGGCTACCTCCGAGAGATTCTGTGAGTTCTGAAGTTTTGTACTGGGGCGATACCGAAGGGCAATGGGGGCCAAAGTCGTACACGGACGGTTCGGGGTTCGGGTCGAATGTGCCAGAAACCAGGAGGTGTGGCTGGGGCCTATGCCAGTTGGACCCCGACACTTTCTTGCCGAAGCGGGCGATTTTCGGCCCATTGCCGTATCTAATCCAGACAGTCGGTCGTGCTGAAAGATATGCTATACGTATGGGGCTGGTTGTTCATCCAAACCACGAGGTTTTCGTGAGCGATTTACTCTCTTTGGTGGAGGAGGGGAATGCTTGGATGGACGAACTTCAGCACGGCCGAAAGCAGCATGCACGTGTGTGGCGAGATATTTTTATTGCAGCTGAGAGGCGGGACAAGAAGCTGCCGCCTCCAGCATTCCAGTGGACCCCTGCGCATCGAGACATCGAAGCTGTGGTGTCGAGCGGGGCTGGTACTACGGAAATTCAAGATTGGCTCGGCAATGCCTGGGCGGACTTTTTCGCAAGAGTTGGCGCTGCTCAACATGCTGTCGCAAAGGTGACGACGGAGAGCGTGGCGTCCGCCCTGAAAGAGCACCGACTGGTTCTTCAGTATGTGTCCTGGGGAATCCAGAGGGTGGTGGAGTCTCAGAAGTACGGACGAGATGTGTTTCCAGGGCCCCGTCCAGTTGAGATTCGTGCGCCTGTGCTCTTTCAAAAAGCGGATGATCATGTATTGTACAAGAACGTCAAGACGGGCGTTTTCAAGTGTAGAAGGTGCGGGGCCTCAGCCCGCACGCCTGCATCCTTCGACAATCTGCGTGTGGGTGGGGGTCGGAAGTGTGTGCCCAGCAAGATCACCCAGGCCCTCACAAATGAGTTCTTCAGGACGTCCCTCGACGTGTGGGAGATGCCAGTGAGTGATGCGCGCGTGGCCGCTGCCCTCGATGCCGCTGCCGCCTTAGAGCCCCAAGGAGCCCCCGAGGAGGCCGAAGGAGGCCCCTCCCAGCCACCTGTGCTCGACGGGGCCTCTAGGGAGGATGCGGACCCCCTCATCCTGGAGTGTGGGGCTCTAGGGCACGATGTGTTCCGTGTTAATTCAATGTATTGCTGCCGTCGTTGTGCAGGGCATTGTTCAGTGTTGCAGGTTAATAGTCTCAGGAAGCTGAAGCGTGAGTGTGTAGGCCTCTCTGACAACCTCAGCACTCGGAGGAACCAGCTCAGGGCGATCGACAGGATCAGCCGTGGGCTCGAGCCACGTCAGCGTGGAGGGGACCCCGAGCCCCCGCCGTAGGTTTTTTTTTGGTCCGGGCCCCCAGGTCCCTGGCGTGTGTGGTCCTGGGGCCCCTCGCGTTTCCTGGTGTGGCCGTTTTTCCCTGTCCTTGTTTGTGCTGAGGTATGTCAGTCCAGCTGGCGTACTCTTGGTAGCCTGCACCCTGCATCCTTCTCCTTCTCCTCCTCCTCCTCTTCCTCCTCCGCCTCCTCCTCCTCCTCCTCCTCCTCCTCCTCCTCCCTCCTCTCCCCCGGAGGGGGTGGACGAGGAAGCTCGAGAGCAGGCATGGCCAGAAAGGTCTGGAGGGAATCCTGGGGCTCGTGGGGGGCAGTCTGCCGCCGCCGCCGCCCGCCCTCCCCCATGCCTCCCCCCCGCGAACGAGCGCCGATCTCCCCCGCAAGCATGGGCACCACGGGAAGCGGAGGGGGGGACGGCGAAGCTCGAGAACAGATGTGGCCAAAAAGGTACGGCGGGAATCCTGGGGCTCGTGCGGAAGAATTCTGGGGCTTGTGTGTCCGTTCGCTCGTGTGCCCCGGGGCCCCAGTGTGTGGGATGAGCTGTGAGTTTGATCCCTGAGGGTCTCCAGAACCCCCCCCCAAATAAGGGGGTATATAGCTAGTGACTTTTCGGCAGCCCTATTCACGGACTGGGGTCCCGTTAATTGGTGGTCACAACAAAAGGGGGCAACAACAGGAGAAGGAGGAGGGGGAGAGGAGGGAGGAGGAGGAGGAGCAGGAGGAGGAAGAGGAGGAGGAGGAGGAGGAGGAGGAGGAGGAGGAGAAGGAGGAGGAGGAGGAGGCGGAGGAGGAGGAGGAGGAGGCGGAGGAGGAGGAGGAGGGGAGAGCTTTAGGACCAGTCCCATCCACCGCCGAGTTGAAAGGAGGGATCAAAACCAAAGACCCTTCTAGGTTCCTTGTGTGGGATTTCCGTATGTGCGTGTATCTGTGGACGACGGCGACGACGACGACGGCGACGACGACGGCGGCGCCGCGGCAGGGCGTCTGGGGGGGGGAGGGGGGGGGCGGCCGCGCGGGCCGGGCGGCCGCCGGGCGCGCCGCGGGCCGGCACATGGCCGGGGGCCCCGGCGGCGGCAGCTCCGCGCGGTACTACGGCCGCGGCCCCGTGGCGGGGGGAGGGGAGGCGGGAGGAGCGAGGAGCGAGGAGAGGAGCGAGGAGAGAGGAGCGAGGAAGGAGGAGGAGGGAGGAGCGAGGAGTGAGGGGGGAGAGCAGTGAGGAGGAGGAGAGGAGGGAAAGGAGGGAGGAGTGACGAGGAGGAGGGAGGAGTGAGGAGTGAGGGGGAGAGCAGTGAGGAGGAGGGGAGGAGGAGGGAGGAGGGAGGAGCGATGGCGAACTGTGCGCTCGCCGCCCGCGACTGCCGACCAACCCCGCGACCGCGGCCCCGTGGCGGGGCGGGGGGCCTCAAGCAGCGGCGAAGCCTACCAAGCAATGTAGCCCTATCAAGCAATGTTCTAAGAGCCCGTTGTGGTTTCCACGAGAAGTTCTTAGAACATTTCTGGCTGGGACTGCTTTGTTTTGACGCATGAGGCCTATGTTCTAAGAACATTGTTTTTGTTCTTAGAAGATGCTGGGGTTCTCACAACATGTCGTGGTAGGACTATAGGAATGCCAGGACGGTCGGTCCCTGCTCAAGGGGGGGGCTGCGCCTCTCGTCGGTGAGCGCAGGGGGGAGGTCTAGGACTCTCAGAGGCGATGACAGGGGCGAATAGCCCAGGGGAGAGCAATACATGTATCCAGGGGCGCCGATGATCTATAGCTTCGACAAGGCTCCCGGGCGGATGCGTGTAATGCCCTCCCCTGGGCTATTCGCCCTTATCGTCGCCGCCGAGCCTCCCAGATGGGGTCCGAGTAGATGGGGGTCGGAGGATCGCGCCGCAGCGCCGACGCATCGCCGATGCGGCTCGATGCGGGGCCCGCCTCGCTTCACGTCGGCGTCGCCTATACACCGCCCACGTCGGCGGTGGGTCGCTGGTGCATCGCCGATGCATCCTCCGACCCCATCTACCCCGACCCCATCTATCAGGAGGGGAAACAACACACAGACACAATGACTCGTCGATCCCCCGGAAAATATGGGAAACTATTGGAAGTGGGGGGGGGGGGGGGAAGGCAAAAACCCAGGAACTATGGGAACATCGGGGGATCTTGTTTTTATTTGTGTCTACTTAGTGGTGTGTCCCAGGGACCCTTCACAATCTGGGAGGCCTCCTGGGCAGCGAGCAGGGGCGGGCCTTCGAGGCTCGAGCTTCACCCTGGGCAGCGAGGAGGGGCGAAACCTTCGAGGCTCGAGCTTCGTGGCTCGAGGTGCTCGGGCGGTGTCGGCGCTGCTCGGCGGTCTCCCCGCCTCGGGAGGCGCGCCAGGCGGCCCGCCCCCTCGCTTTGGCGGCGCGCCGGGGGCGCCCTGGTCGCCCCGGCGGGGGACCACCGGAGAGCCGAGGTGTGACTTGGCATCGCTCGGACGTGCGCATTGTTCCTTCGGCGAGGGCCATCGAGGAGCATGCTTGAGCATGTGGCCAAAAAAACCACGCACGAGGCCGAAAAGAGCACAGGGAATGGACGTCCGAGCGATGGCCAGATGACCGACAGACCACTAGGCTTCAGTCGGGCCTGTCCCCCCACAGGGGGATTTTGGACGAGAAGTAAAACATACTCCAAAAATACCCCGCAGATGTTGAAAAATGCTGGAAAGGTCGTCCCCAGATTCGTTTTTGGGTTATTTTTTTGCGTATTCCTCCTGCAGAGGGGGGAGACAGGCCCGACTTAACACTAGGCGTCGGAGAGGCCCCCCCCCCTCGCTCGCCGCCGTGCTCCCCCCCCTCCTGAAATCTTGGCGTTGCATTTTTTTTCGAGACGGGCGTTTTTCAGGAGGGGAAAAGCACACACAGACACAATGAATCGTCGATCCCCCAGAAAAACATTGGGAAATATGGGAAGTGGGGGGGAAGACGGACACCCAGAACATATGGGAAAATTATCCCGGCAAAGCAACTTGACAGCGATGTGCAGGAGCATATCTGGAAGCATTCCCCTTAAGATTCAGATGATAATCCAGTTGTAGAATTCTGCTGTTCTCGCAGTCGTAGTCGCATTCGCGATGACAGTCGCAGTGGCAACGGCAGTCGCAGTCACAGCCTCAGCCTCAGCCTGCCTCAGCCTCAGCCTCAGCCTGCCTCAGCCTCAGCCTGCCTCAGCCTCAGCCTCAGCCTGCTTCAGCCTCAGCCTCAGTCTGCCTTCAGCCTCGGCCTCAGCCTCAGCCTGCCTCAGCCTCAGCCTGCATCAGCCTCAGCCTCAGCCTCAGCCTGCCTCAGCATCAGCCTGCCTCAGCCTCAGCCTCAGCCTGCCTCAGCCTCAGCCCTGCCTCAGCCTCAGCCTCAGCCTCAGCCTGCCTCAGCCTCAGCCTCAGCCTGCTTCAGCCTCAGCCTCAGCCTCAGCCTGCCTCAGCATCAGCCTGCCTCAGCCTCAGCCTCAGCCTGCCTCAGCCTCAGCCTCAGCCTGCTTCAGCCTCAGCCTCAGTCTGCCTTCAGCCTCGGCCTCAGCCTCAGCCTGCCTCAGCCTCAGCCTGCATCAGCCTCAGCCTCAGCCTCAGCCTGCCTCAGCATCAGCCTGCCTCAGCCTCAGCCTCAGCCTGCCTCAGCCTCAGCCTCAGCCTGCTTCAGCCTCAGCCTCAGTCTGCCTTCAGCCTCAGCCTCAGCCTCTCAGCCTTCAGCCTCAGCCTCAGCCTCAGCCTCAGCTCAGCCTCAGCCTCAGCCTCAGCCTCAGCCTCAGCCTCAGCCTCAGCCTCAGCCTCAGCCTCAGCCTGCCTCAGCCTCAGCCTCAGCCTGCTTCAGCCTCAGCCTCAGTCTGCCTTCAGCCTCGGCCTGCCTCAGCCTCAGCCTGCATCAGCCTCAGCCTCAGCCTCAGCCTCAGCCTGCCTCAGCCTCAGCCTCAGCCTGCCTCAGCCTCAGCCTCAGCCTGCTTCAGCCTCAGCCTCAGTCTGCCTTCAGCCTCGGCCTCAGCCTCAGCCTGCCTCAGCCTCAGCCTGCATCAGCCTCAGCCTCAGCCTCAGCCTGCCTCAGCATCAGCCTGCCTCAGCCTCAGCCTCAGCCTGCCTCAGCCTCAGCCTCAGCCTGCTTCAGCCTCAGCCTCAGTCTGCCTTCAGCCTCAGCCTCAGCCTGCCTCAGCCTCAGCCTGCATCAGCCTCAGCCTCAGCCTCAGCCTGCCTCAGCATCAGCCTGCCTCAGCCTCAGCCTCAGCCTGCCTCAGCCTCAGCCTCAGCCTCAGCCTCAGCCTCAGCCTCAGCCTGCTTCAGCCTCAGCCTCAGTCTGCTTTCAGCGTCGGCCTCAGCCTCAGCCTGCCTCAGCCTCAGCCTGCATTAGCCTCAGCCCAAGCTGCAGCCTCAGCCTGCCTCAGCATCAGCCTGCCTCAGCCTCAGCATCAGCCTGCCTCAGCCTCAGCCTCAGCCTGCCTCAGCCTCAGCCTCAGCCTGCTTCAGCCTCAGCCTCAGTCTGCCGCCTTCAGCCTCGGCCTCAGCCTCAGCCTGCCTCAGCCTCAGCCTGCCTCAGCCTCAGCATCAGCCTGCCTCAGCATTGAAAATGTGGCCCGGGAATGTAGTTCTGGGAACTCGACTAACACGAAGTGGCCTACAGTTGGCTCCGGGCATTCAAAATCATCCCCAGGAATCGAGTTCTGGAAACTCGAAGACCACGAAGTGGCCTATAGTTGGCTCCGGGCATTCAAAATCATGCCCAGGAATGGAGTTCTGGGAACTCGAAGAACGCGAAGTGTCCTACAGTTGGCTCTGGGCATTCAAAATCATGCCCAGGAATGGAGTTCTGGGAACTCGAAGAACGCGAAGTGGCCTACAGTTGGCTCCGAGCATTCAAATTCATGCCCAGGAATGGAGTTCTGGGAACTCGAAGACCACGAAGTGGCCTACAGCTGGTTCCGAGCGTTCAAAAACATGCACAGGAATGGAGTTCTGGGAATTCGAAGACCACGAAGTGGCTTACAGTTGGCTCCGGGCAGTCAAAAACATGCCCAGGAATGGAGTTCTGGGGCCTCGAAAACCTCGAAGTGTGTAACAGTTTGCTTAAAACGACTTCCGCGGATTCTCCCCGGCACCCGTCCGGCATCTACCCAGACCCCCCTGAGGAGTCAATATGTTTTCTTTTGAGACCATTAGAAGCCTATCAGTCTTCGCTGTTAGGTAATATGGGGAATCCTTTGATTTGTGTGTATTTGTTTGCGTGTGTGTGTGTGTGTGTGTGTGTGTGTGTGTGTGAGCGTGCGTGCGTGCGTGCGTGCGTGCGTGTGTGTGGTGTGTGTGTGTGTGTGTGTGTGTGTGTGCGTGTGTGTGTGTGTGTGTGTGTGTGTGTGTGTGTGTGTGTGTGTGTGTGTGTGTGTGTGTGTGTGTGTGTCCCAGGGCCCCTTCAGTTCTCGCCCGCTTTTTTTCGGGACCCGGGGCCCTCGCAGGGCATGTCGATCTGGCCTGAAAGCATGCCGCGGGGAGATGGGGTCCGTGCCCAGTTGTGAATGTTTGCGGTGCTGATTTTTTTCCGGCGCCAGATCAGAGGGCCCCCCCCATCCCTTCGTGTGGAAGGTGGGGGCGCCACGGCTGGAGTGGGCGAAATTCTTGGGACGACATGCGTACGGGGCATGCGGGGAAGGAGACAGACTGCAAGATCTTGTGCAAGATCCTCTTGTTTGGAGAGATATATTGAGAGAGCGGTGTGTGTGTAGTGTAGGAATGTGCGTTTGCCGACGCGCCTTGGGCGTATGGCTTCTGTCTGTCTGTCCATCCCTTCGTGTCGTGCAGAATCGGATGCAGTCTGCTGGGAGGTATTTTTTTGACTTTGCCCTGGTCCGAAGTCCGACATCGTCCGGTTTGATCCCGGCTAATGCGGAGCCGCTTCATCCCGCTCCAGCCGCGGCTTACTTGGCGTACCAGCCTGCCAATGAGTTTTATTTTCCCGAATCCTTCCGACGAAGATCACCCAGTAGTTGCCTCCTAATCTGCCGTGTCGTGACGAAAAGAAAGGCGGGAGGGTACAGACGGGACTAAAACGAGTATACATCCGTTTCAGAGCGTTCTGGATCGCTCTCAGGGCGTTCTGGAACGCTCCTTCAAGGCCGCGGCGCCCGAGACATTTTCCAGAGCCGCCGGATGTCTGGGATCTTCGACTTATCTTCGCTCGATGATCTGCCGTTCTGGCTTCGTCTTACTCCCTTCGTAGGCGATGTTTCTTCCCCACCCCCAAGCTTTTTGACGAAAAAGGAAAGAAACGCTGGGATGCACCCTCAGGGGCTATTATTCAGACGCACCTCTGTCGAGGATGGACGCCGCCCCTTGTATATCCTCCGGTTGGGCCCAGTCGAAAACCCCACGTAGCCTGGGGTAGGGGTCGACAACTCCTTGGTTATCTTCGCTCGATTTGATCCTCGTTTTCTCGTCGTCCTACACCTCCCCCCACCACAGGGGCTCGTCATCGTCGTCGCCGTCGCCGTCGCCGCCCTCGTTATCGTCGTCGTCGTCGTCGTCGTCGTCGCCGCGAGGCCCGGCGGCAATGCGGCAACGCCAGCGATCGAATAGCACCCTGCTGAAGCCCTCGGGTGGCACCAGCAATCGGGGCAACTGATCCTTCCCCTCCTCCCTCTCTCCTCCTCCCTCTCTCCTCCTCCTCCTCCGCCTCCTCCTCCTCCTCCTCCGCCTCCTCCTGCCTCCCCCCTCCTCCGACCCCTCCTCCGACCCCTCCCTCTCTCCCCTCCTCCTCCGACCTCTACCGTCCTCCACCCGACTCGCCGGTCGAACGCTCCATCAGGGCAGCGGGGCGTAAGTGACGGAGCGCCTCTGCGGCCGGCCTCTCTTCGGCAGTATACCACCCTCCTCCTCGTCGCCTCCCTGCCTGCCTGCCTCCCTCCCCCCTCCTTCCCCCCCCTCCTTCTGCACCTCATGCTCCCCTCTCCCACATCTCTCCGCCCTCATCCTCCCTCCTCCTTCCCTCCCCTGTCCCTGTCCGCCCGATCTTCCCCCCCTGGTCCTCCTCCGCCTCCGCCTCCTCCTCCCTCATCCGCCGCCTCTTATTCGTCGTCATCGTCGTCCTCCCCCTCCTCTCAATCAACATCCTGCTCCTCGCCCTCCGCTTCTTCCTCTCTCGGCCTTCCTTGTCCGCCTCTCCTCCAGCATGGCTATTTCGCAGGAAGAGGAGGAGGAGGAGGAGGAGGAGGAGGAGGAAGAGGAGGAGGAGGAAGAAGAGGAGGGCGCCATCGACAGGGAAGGTGAGGGCCACGAGGTCCGCCGGCTCGACGCCCGCCTCACCCGCGCCCGCCCCCTCACTCTTATCCGCAATTGCGGGGTGCTATTATTTCGCAGTCTTTCCCCCGCACTTGTGAGCTGGTACGTCCCGAGGCCGCCCCCACATTTTTGTTAGAGCCGGCGCATCCGCCCCCTCCCCGCCTCCCGCCCACTCCGTGCATCACCTCTGGTCTCCCCGCGCATAATGTGTAGGGTTAAGTCGGGCCTGTCCCTCTACAGGGGGACTATTCAGAAATAACCAAAAATAGTCTGGGGACGACGTTTGGAGTATATTTTGAGTATGTTTTATTCCTCGTCGAAAATCCCCCTGTAGGGGGATAGGCCCGACTTACGTGTAGGGATGTGCACGTCGTGCGCTCTGTTGGGGAGGCTCTCCGTTGAGGAGTCTGGCCAAGCCGTGTGCGCCCACCCACTCCCAGGAGATGCCAACAGGCGTGAGCATGTCGAGTCGTTTTTGCATAGGCCTTGGGCCAAACAGTCGGTCCAAGTGAGATGTTGTTCTGACTGCGCCAGGGTCCCGGATTCCCGGATTTCCTGCGCTTCCTCCCTTCTCTCTCTCTCTCTCCCCGCACCTCCCTCCGCCTCCTCCCTCTCCCTCCCTCTCACCCCCTGACTTTCGTTGTTACCACCCCCCTCCGCCTTCTGTCTCCGTCGTCGTCGTCTCCGCCGCCGTCGTCGCCCTCGTCGCCCTCGCCGTCCTTGTCCCCGTCCTGGCCCTCCTCCCCCACCCCCGTAAGGCCTCAGGGCAGGGTAGGGCCTTGGCATCGCTCGGACGCGCGCAGCTTTCATCGGCGAGGACCATCCAGGAGTATCTTGGAGCGTCCGAGAGCGGGCGGGGGCTGTGGCGCACGCGGCTGGCGTCGTGCCGTTTGCACTCGCAGGCGTGCCCACATCACACAGCACACGGCCACAGCTTGTCTCCGGCGCGCCCGAGGGGGGCAGGGCAGGGCAGAGCCAGGGCAACCTCGAGGCAGGGGCGCTCTGAGGGCGATGGCGACGGCGAGGGTCGGGCCGGACGAAAGGGGGGAATTGGGAAAGGGGGGGGGTACGACATCTGCTGCATGCAGCTGGTTTCGGCCCCACCGAGGGGCCCATTCCTCGATACACGGCCGCCTCCCGGCGCCAGAAGGCGCCCGGAATATCAGCTATACGTGAGCTGATTCTCAATACCCCCCCCCCCCCTTTTCGCCCGGCCCGAGAGGGAAGGGGTTACGTGTGTGCTTTTCATGGAAGCTCGCCCGTGCTCGGACGGCCCCGCG